ATATATATATATATATATATATATATATATATATATATATATTTATTATATAAGATATATTTACATATATTTTCTCCGAAATTAACACAGCCCGGCGACCCCCTACATAAAGGATAGGTCCACCTCTGGTTAATTGATTTGGATTTTCATGTTATTTTACCACCTAACTTACTGAATATACATAACGCAATTAAATATATTTTCCGCATAATAGAGAGTAGAGAGTGGGGATTTACTTTCTATTAGTTGTGAAGCAAGGAAAAATTATAGTTAGATTACTGAAATTCAAACTGAGATTTCGACTGCCATTGAAATTTGGTCAAAGGAATTCGATTATTGTATATTCAGGCCTTTCTTGTAGTTGTTGCTTGTTAGCTAATCGGACACATTGACTTTGTTATTTCTTGCTATTACATTATATAGGAGTAACAAATTAGAAGTTTCTACAGGTTTTGAACATGTAAATGTGAGTGTTTGTGACGTTTGGGGTGAAACTGCAGGATAACGTGTCTTAGCAGTTTCTATAGGACAATGACTATTTTTCAAAGATAAAGTCTAAAAGTTATAGTGGCCGCTATTTCTACCTTGTTACACCAATTTACAATGAGATAAATACCAGGCTATTAGCACATGACCAGGGAATATCACTAGATCATATCCTTTAGGGTTGTTTGGAACAAGTTATCACGAGATTATAATGATGGGATTATAATATGGGTATTTAATAATGACAGAATTATTTAGTAAATATATTTTTATTGAAAGATGTTTGATTCATCGGACTAAAAATGAGATATACAGGATATAATATAAGCATGTATTTGGTGTATACTAGATAAGTTGAGATAAACTTTTATTTTCAATTTTAACCTTGGATTGTTTAAAAAACTTTGGAGAAAAAGCCTTAGAAAATGACTTCTTTGTCATTTTAGTATTTATTCCGGGATTAATTAATTCCAGGATTATTATCCCACCCTCAATATGGGATAGAATAATATCCAATTGTGGAATTAATTAATCATAGGATTGGTAATCCCATAATTCAAGAATTCAAGCAAACACGGGAAAAAATAATCTTGCATCTAATTCAGGAATTATTATCCTTATCCCATAAACTAAACGACCACTTACTCTAGTAGCTACATGTCTTTTTTTTTTTAAGTTTATGTTAGCAACAAAAGGATTGTACATTGACTAGTCTTCTCCATTGTAGTGCTGAACTATTCTAGTAGCAGAAATTGCAGGTAGGGTAATCAGCTATAGTACAACACTGCAGCAATTATCAACAGTAGCAATGGTAGGACATGGGGTCAATCACGGATCAATAATACTAGGAGTAGTGAACTATCTACTATAACAATTGTCCGACTGAGTTTGGACTGTTTCATTCTAACTGCATATTCCCATCACATGGCTCTCCTGTTTAACCAATTTGTGCGCACCTTAACTGTTTCACCGTATATCTGCTACGTTCCACTTGTACAAGTTACGAATAACATTGTCAACATGACTACCCCTTTCAATAGCTTCTCCCACCCCTATTTCTGTTCCCCATGCTCAGTGTTGTCAATCAGATTGTTTTTTCACTCTTCCCAGATGATAAAAGTTCTGGCTCTGAGGGAGGTTTGTCTTCCCTTTCTCAATTATGACGTACGTGGTTAGGTTGCCGTAATAGTTCTCATTACTTATGGCTTCCTTGTTCATAGAGAAAGTTAACTTTCTTCTTTCATTGAAGGCCAAATACATATCTAGTCCTTTAAACTTGGCACTAATTTTCATTTAAATACCTAAACTGAGACTTGTTCCCGTCAAATACTTAAACTATGCTTAAATTGTAGTACCTATTAGACACATTTGACTTATGTGGCAAAGTGCGTGCTCCACACTTTCTCTAAGAGCGTGAAAAGGTAAGATTTTTGTATTTTAAGTGTTTTCTCTCTCCTTCGTCCCTCTCTCTCCCCCCTCAAGCAATCTCTCCACCTTCACCATTTTTACAGTCATCACCTTCATTAAAACCACATGAACCCTTTTTTCCCTTCGATCCTTCAAAGCACAGGTGCCCATGGTTTCTCTCTTATTAATCAAGCGTCTTTCTCCGTGGATGTGAGAGATAAACCAACCACACCACCACCATTGAAGTCGTCGGCGCCAATTCCAGTGACCCTACTTTTAAAGTTCTGGCTGCCAGGGAAATTCGGCGTCTCATCAAGACTTTCAAACGTTACCATTGTTATTCCTCCAACGCCGTGAAACCCTTCATTGATATGTTCCATTTTAACTCCACCACTGCCCCACCATTTTTGCCATTGACCTCACCTACCTCCATTACTGCCTCGCTAACACTACCGTCCCTCTCACCTACCTCTTCTCGTCCACCATCGTTCACAGATCCAACGCACAAAATTTCTAAAACCATTCTTGATAACATAACAACCAGGTCCCCATTTATTTCAGGATGTATATAATTGATAAATTTGAGTCCTTAAAAACTAAAGAGATATTCAATGGGATTGACTTATCTTTATTGATAATGCTCTTTTTGGTTGATATGGCGACCGGAGACACCAACTTTATTAGACCAAATTATTTTTCCTTCAATCTCAACAAATATTTCTAGGGGTTTCCGCAGCTTTTCTCTGTTTATCATAGATTGATTTGATCGCCTTCTCTGTAATGACAAAGATATTGTTTTGAGCAAGAAAACTGTAAGAATTTGCCGGAATAGTGAGGTGGGGGCGGGGGGTGGGAGCACAGCTCCAACATTTTTTTGAACTCAAATCTACGTGACATATTTTCATTCGTTATTTTTGCCATTTCAGCGCGTGTGAACTTCACGCATATTTTTCTTGCACTGGCTAGTCTCTGAGATAT